TTTTTAAAAGCATTCAACCAGGAGTTTGATTGATTGATTGATTGATTAAACCAGGTGGAACATTAATTTTATAAGGGGAGATGAATTGAGTTTTAAGCATTTAATTTTGAAATCACTTTTGAAAAAAAGAAACAGTTCATAAATTGGGAACTCTTTGTAAGTGGATCGTCATAATGGCCATTGCAACTTATTTTTAAGTATGTGTCTTAAAAATAAAACTAAATAACTCTAATCCCAGAGTTGGAAGGAACAGAAGGAACATTTCTACTTTCTGTCTTTATGACTTTGAACATGTTACTTACCCACTTTTTGTCTCAGTTCCCTAATCTGTAAAATGGAGATGATATTAATAACTACCACACACGAGTCCTTAAAGTCAAAGGATCCTGCAAACCAAGAAACATCTAAAATAAAAAGTAACTTTGTTGAATTAGAAATAGTAAATGTTAACAAATATTTTCAATATATGTACAGCAAAATAATTGCACTGTTAAGCAACATTGAGTGAGCAAAGGCAGAGTATAAATGGAACTAAAACACTGGGATAAAGTTAAAAATAGAACTGAATTACTGAGATATGACTTTTCAGTTTTTACATGGTTATAATATATTCTTTGGGAAATTTAAGACACAGTAAAATTTGTATTACTTTTACCAGTAAACATACACAAAAACAAAGCAAAGCAAAAACAACACCCTTAGGCATGAACTGTAAATATTTGTTTTTATTTTCTTGCATTAGAATTGGGGATTATATGTTTCAACTATTAGATTTGAATCATTAGATAAGAACTGCTTGTTGCATTATATTGCATGACAAACCAATTCATCTAGCTAAATTTGTATTTTTATCCTGTGTTGTGTATGTGTTTGTTGGTGTCACTACTTATAGTAGATAGTAAATTTCCAATGGTTAGGAAGGAAACATTTTTTTAGTTTCAGTTCTAGTGTTAAATCATTTATTTATATCAAATGACAAGATTTGCATGGGTCTGTAAACAAATGAAAACAATTACTTCAAAAAATAGTGATTAAGATTACTAAACTGGTTTAATTTTGATGAATACTTTACATCTCTTCTGTATTTTTTATTTGAATATTCTTCTTTTATGATATGATGCTGAGAGCCTAGCTTCTGGGAACCACTAATGGAATAAAAGCACTAGAATAGAAGTGTACCCTGTTCAATTCTAGGACTCTTTCCCACAATAGGCCAGGGACAATCTCATAAATTGTACATGTCTTTATACCATCCACATTTCTGCGACAGTGCCAGACAGACAGGAAGTACTGAGCAAATATGTGTTGAATAAATAGAAACTCAGTCAGAGGTCTGGTTAGCGTCGCTCATTGAACTGAGTGCTGGCCTACAAACCAAAGGGTTGACGGTTCAATTTCCAGTCAGGGCACATGCCTGGGTTGCACGCTCCTCAGTAGGTTGCACACAAGAGGCAACCACACATTGATGTTTCTTTCCCTCTCTTTCTTGCTCCCTTCCCCTGTAAAAATAAATAAATAAGAAACTGAGAGCCATATAATAAAATATAGTTTTTAAATTCCTAAGCCTGCTACAAGGCAGAATTTAAAAATGATGATGCTTATACTAGGTATGAAAGATTTATTGCCTACCAATCAACAGTCATTACTTTCAAACATGATCAGTCCGGTGGCATAAACTATTCAAGAAAAAAAAAGGCTTGGATGTGGAGCCCACTTTCTAGTTTGGATTTTTAGTGATATAATAGTGTTACATTGTCCACAGAGGCTGCAAATTAGTGTTACATTGTCCACATAGGGGAAAGTCATAATATACAAGAACTGTAGCCTTCCAAAACAAGAATTCCAACTGGAGCAGGTATCATGAAAGTACTGGAGAGTTATCATATACATGATTATTATTATTCTACCGTACTAAAAAATGTAGGGTTGAATAGAATATAAGTCATGTATCATCCCTAGCTACAGACCCAGAACTGAAGTTTCCCAGTCAGAAAGTGGAACAGGACATAAGGGCTGCTCTAAGGAGACAATAATAAAGGCTTTTCTGTAAGAGTTTTGTCGGCTATAGGCGGCACCCAGGCCAGTGAGAAATCCCTTTTACTACATCAGAGTGGGAATAAGATTAATTAGAAAAAGGCACAGAAGATAACACTTTTCCACACTTTTGTCCAAGGCTGGCCATCGGGAAATACCCTTCCTTGACCAGTTGAGCGCTCTAGTGGCGCCACTACGGTTCCATTGCTATCAAAGACTAATTTATGTGATAAAGTTCCTCCTAAATTGTAGTTTATTTTATGATTTCCTTCAACTTAATCTGCACATCTAAATCATCAAACTTGTTAACTTGTTCTCTTTTTTAATAGTGTAATGGTTAGAACTGCACTCTGGAGTCTGCTTTCTGGCTTGGGTTTGAATCCTCACTGTACCACTAACTCCGGGACCGTGAGAGTCACTAAAACCTCCTGTGCTTCAGTTTCTTTATCTGTAAAATAATATCATTACCTACCTCACAGAATTGTGAGGGCTAAATGACTTAATATATGTAAGAGCTTTAAACAGTGCCTGATATAGTAAATGTTTAAAATTGAGTATTATAATCTTTATTGATGCTTATTTTTAATAAGATTTCTTTTAGAGTTTCACTGTAAAAGCTAAAAAAATCCTGTAAGATAAATAAAGATGTCTTTAGTTTTAACATCATAGCTAATGCCATTATCTCATAAGGTTAATAATTATGACAATTACTCTATTTTGTTAATTTTACCATTATTTATAAAAAATTATATAGCAATTAGTTGTAATTTAACATACAGTACATGCACTGAGTATGAGATTTTTTTCAAATTATCGAAATTAGTAAGTAAACTACACAGTGTAAAAAGTTTATGTTGAATATTTTATATACATGATTAAAATATATATCAAGGTAAGGATTAATTTAGAGGTAATTTGTCCTGTATAGTCACAAAACAGACAATAGTTAGTAATAATTACTTGGAGAACATTTGTTTTTGTTTAGAATGTATTCGTGTATTATTTTCCTACTAATTGAAATATGAAAATAATTTTATCTTAAATTCTAACCTTCATTTTGCTGCTTAGAATTATTAAATGATGTGTTGGGTATTATCAGATATCACATTATTCAATGCTGAGTCATTAAATGTAAAATATTTTATAAGAAAACAATCAAAATTCAGAATGACTTTTTGAATAATCATTTATAACATTTTATAAATACAGTTGAGTTTTTTTATTTTATTGGGTACTCTTTAAGAACTACACCTAATTTTCTATGTTATTTGGTGTCACTGATTTGTCCTTTCTTCTTTAGCAGTCACTTTATGATCTCAGGAGAATCAATAACCAAAGTATAATAACCAGTAATTTAAAATAAAGGTAATACTATAGGATTAGTCACTATTGCTACTGAAACATAAATACTATAAGCTAAATTCTAAGTGTTAAATGATCCTAGAAGCCAGAGAAATTTTTTTCAGCATATACTTTGAAGGCACTACATAAGTAAAGTAATAAATGATGTCAACTTTCACAGCAAGCCAGTTACTACTCAAAAGTCTTACCACTCCATAAAACATATGAATTATAATTAATTTCATACCATTTGTTTCTTAACATTCTTTTAAAGAGATATTATGAAAGACATACTTTTATTTACAGCCATATTAGAAATATGATTGTAAATATTTTCCAAAAGGTATAGCCTAGAAATTATGGAACTGTTTTGTTCCTGTGTCTTTTTCTTTCAGAAAACTCTTTTTTCCCTGCATTCCTCTATGTTATAAAGGAAATTACTATCAAGTCACTACTTGATATATATAGTCCCAACTCTAAACACTTCCTAATAAAGCTACTGCTGAAACCCTAGCTGAGGCAGTTCTCTTCTTTTCCTTAGACCTCTTCACTAGGCTTTCAACTAAGCCTTCCTGCCTTTGCTTTTTGCCCTTTTTACAGTCCATTCCAACAACAGAAGCCAGATATACTTACAGCATAAATTAGATCATGTCCTTCTGCTTAAAACTTTCCTATCACTTCTCATTAAAACTGAAACAAAATCAAAGTACTTCATCTTTGCCTGCCAAACTATGCCTTTTTGCTAGACATCATCACCTGTCACTTGACCTCTCTCTCCCACCAGCAACAACCATCAGCTTCACTGTCCTCAGCCTCCAACTACATTCACGTTCTTTCTGTCCCTTGAGCATACTTCATGCCCCTTGCAGTCTGTTTACTCTTTTTGGAATTCTTCCTTTAGGCCTCGGATTGCTTCCTCATTACTTATGATCCTATTCAAAGGTCGCCTTCTTATAGAAATCTCTTTTAACCACTCTAAATATAATAGACTTCTTCCAAGTCATTCTGCGTCCTTTTATTCAATTTAATATTTTTTCTAGCACTTACTACTATTGACACTATATTAACTACACATTTGTGTTTGTGTCCTCATTTTCTTTTTTTTATTGTATCTTTGGCATTGTCAGACATGCTGGGCACATTATTGACATGCAATAAACATTTGTTGAATGAAAGAATAACAATTTTCAAAATTGGACTATTTTCAATTCTATGACACCAATATGATTTCATCAGTCCTACCTATGTGTCCGTAGTCTTTCTCTAGTCCTAAGGCTCCAGCAAAAATAGCCTCATTCTATCTCCACTGATTCATCTACACTTTGATAATTGTCTTAATTCTAGCAGTTTTGATTTAATTACATTGTGGTTGACTTCTAAGGATGATTGAAAATAGCCTCAGTTGTCTTTGATGAGAATTTTCTCTTTCCAGGGCCCACTGGAAATTTAAAATAAAATTAAGATATTTTCCGCGGTTTTAAGATTTTTTTCTTGTTATAAAACTTCTGATTATATGTAGTCTCCACCTCAAAATGTGTCTCTGTTTAAGGGTATTAAAGTTAAACCACCTTTCCAAGTTTACACAGGCGATGACAGGAATATAATGTGCTTTGTTTTTCTTTCAGATCTCCAACTAAAGACATGGATTCAGAAGAGAAGGAAATTGTGGTCTGGGTTTGCCAAGAAGAGAAGATTGTCTGTGGTTTAACTAAACGCACTACCTCGGCTGATGTCATTCAGGCCTTGCTTGAGGAGCATGAGACCACATATGGAGAGAAACGATTTCTCCTGGGGAAGCCCAGTGATTACTGCATCATAGAAAAGTGGAGAGGCTCAGAACGGGTTCTTCCTCCACTAACTAGAATCCTGAAGCTTTGGAAAGCATGGGGAGATGAGCAGCCCAATATGCAATTTGTTTTGGTTAAAGCAGATGCATTTCTACCAGTTCCCTTGTGGCGGACAGCTGAAACCAAATTAGTGCAAAACACAGAAAAACCATGGGAGCTCAGTCCAGTAAATTACATGAAGACATTACCACCAGATAAGCAAAAAAGAATAGTCAGAAAAACTTTCCGGAAACTGGCTAAAATTAAGCAGGACACAGTTTCCCATGATCGAGATACTATGGAGACCTTAGTTCATCTGATTATTTCGCAGGACCATACTATTCATCAGCAAGTCAAGAGAATGAAAGAGCTGGATCTGGAAATTGAGAAGTGTGAAGCTAAGTTCCACCTTGATCGGGTAGAAAATGATGGAGAAAATTATGTCCAGGATGCTTATTTAATGCCCAGTTTTAGTGAAATTGAGCAAAATCTAGACATAGAGTATGATGAAAAGCAGATTCTAGAGGACCTGAATAAAAGTGGTAGAGTCCTACAGCTGGAGGAACGACTGACATATTACAGAATGCTCATTGACAAGCTGTCTGCTGAAATAGAAAAAGAGGTAAAAAGTGTTTGCACTGGGATACATGAAGATACAGAAGAGGCAGCTGCAAGTGAACTAGAAAGCCTAAATTTAGAAACTGTTAAGTGTGACTTGGAGAAAAGCATGAAAACTGGTTTGAAAATCCATTCTCACTTGAATGGCATCCAGAAAGAGATTAAATACAGTGACTCATTGCTTCAAATGAAAGCAAAAGAATATGAGCTCCTGGCCAAGGAGTTCAGTTCACTTCATATTAATAACAAAGACGGATGCCAGCTAAAGGAAAACAGAGGGAAGGAGTTTGATGTCCCCAACAGCAGTGGACAGGTTCCTTCTTTTACTCAAAGAGTATTTAACATGTATACAAATGATACTGACTCGGACACTGGCATCAGTTCCAACCACAGTCAGGACTCAGAAACAACCGTAGGGGACGTGTTGCTGTTGTCAACGTAATTTGGATGGCTTCTTTCTGACCTACTTTACTCTGTTCATGCTTGTTTAATTTAATAGGAAACTTTATTTTAAATACTACACTCTGAAAGAAATGTAAATTCTGTTAAAATATTCAGTAGTTAATAAAAACTAGAGAAGCGTGTAAGTTTCTTTTTGAAGATATCCAAGGTGACCTAATTATTACAAGTACAAATGATGAACTGTTTATTAGGAATGTAGCACAAATAGCTTGCAAGTGTATGAGAGAAATAATTTGATGGGGGTTATAAGCTCCCATACCTTTTATGAGAAATGATTTATATAAACTTTAATTCTTAATATTAGACAGCCAATATAATCAAACTACACATGTGATCAGGCAAAATATGCTCTATTTTTTTCAATGCTGTATTATTGAGACTTTTAAATCTGTAGAGTACATAGCAGCTACTCTATTGTAACTATATTAATTCAAATCTTGGTTTGTCTCTTTGGTACTTAAAATGTACATTATCTCTGCCACTTCCTGAACTTCTCTACCTTTCTAGACCTAGACCACAGGAAGTGGGAAGGGCTGCTGGTGGGACATGTACAAAGATCAGCAGGGGCATGGATGAGGAAGGGCTAAGTCCTTCATGCAACAGTAATTTTTCCAAAGAAGGATGAAGTTATCAGGAGACATGCATGTGCTTTCTCTAGCTGACAATGCCGGTATTCAGATCAAACCAGTGGTCTGTGCAGCTTCATTCTTTGAGTGAGATTCAGTGTGGGTTACAGAGAAAATCATCTGGTCATAGTCCTGATTGTTTACTCCCTACAAAAGTTGAAGGGATGCAACTCCGGGTCTTTTGTGTGGGTAAAATAGAGCTTCATAGGCCATTTTGTCTTTGAACATGCAGAGGGGAACTCACAAACTTTTATTCTGCTACACTATTATTCAGATCATTTTACTTTGTCTAAGGTGCAAACAAAAAAAAAGTACAGCTCAACTCTTTACTCCGAAGCATGCTGGTAAATATACAACAAATCGAATGGATTATTTACATCCTTCCTTGACTAACAATCATTATAGTGCGAGACTATGCTTGGTTTTGCCTAGTTTTAAAAGAAATTCCTGTCTTTCTCTCGTTTTTCTCTCACTCCCTTGCTTCTGGTCAGTTACCACATGGTATAATCATAGTGAAACAATTTTATTATATTGCTAAGTGAATATTGCCACAGTTTATTTTTCCTTAAGCTGACACTTCCCTTACATGTCAGTGCACATGTAAGTAGAAATATTATTTTACTTATATATGAATAAGCAATATGTGAATATTGGTTAAGATTCCCAGGATTTTTCATTTCTTCCATTTTAGCTTTATGCTTATTGAATAGTGCATGTTTTAATTCAGTTTTTTAATCTCTTTTTTCACTGTGTTATCACTCAAACTTTTCACCAATCTTTGGGAAAATATTTAGAATTCTACATTTGGGGAGCATATATGTTATCATTTCTTGCACCAAGATATTGCTAAATGCTTTATTTGGAGTTAGCTGGTAGGAAAATTTCATTGCAGAACCAGTATAGTGATAAAGAATAAATAATAATGCTAACATGGATTTGATTCTTTTTAAATAAGAAGATTTATTAGTCATCTAAAAAAGGGTAGTTTGTCTGCCTTATATTCTATCAAATCATTCAGCAATATGGTATATTTATTGTTACTTTTGGGGATTAAGTTCAGATCATCAATGACAAATTGTAAATCTGTTTTCCTGCAGTAAAAGTAACATTTTTACTCTTTTTTTTTAAAGATGTTATTTATTTATTTTTAGAGAGAGGGAAAGGAGGAAAGAAGAGAAGGAGAGAAACATCAATGTGTGGTTTCCTCTCGAGCACCCCTACTAGGGACCTGGCCTGCAACCCAGGCTTGTGCCCTGACTGGGAATCGAACCAGTAACCCTTTGGACTCAATCCCCTGAACCACACGAGCCAGGGAGGAGTACTCTTTAGTAAGAAAATAATTTTTTAAAATGCTTATTTGCCATATAATTTAATTATCTGAATTAAAAAGATGTTCTGATACAGAAATAGAACCAGATAATTTTAATTTAGAAACTTTGGATTTACTTTTGCTTTTAAACAGTTAAGCACAGTAATACATTCTAAGAACCAATTTTTCTGTATTTTTATAGTAAATAATGTTAAAAATTCTTGTCTGAATGCAGTACACTTGATTTTTAAATTCAGTCTAGAATTTCCATCTGTTCTTTAGTCATACAAATATATTTGAGCTTTTGATTCATGACAATATTAAGTCACCAGCTACCATGGTGAGTCTCTAATTTAGAGTAGTATTAACTGAACTATTTTTTACTAAATTGAGAATTTGAATTATGAATATAGAACTTGATAGAAAAGTCAATGTTTTAATTCTTTATGGAAGCTTTAAAATAAAGTGTTTATAAATTCTTGAGTCACCCTACAGGTCAACTATGCAATTGTTATATACAGCTAGAAGTAGCAAATAACGTTTACTAGTCTTCCTTCCTATAACAAGAATTAGATTTTCACCAACTGTGCCTTGTGTATCATTGCACTTAGAATGTCTCTTTTTCCTCCATCTGCCATACAGTGAAATTCTACCCATTCCCAGTCTGTAATGTTACCTCTTCTATGAAATATTGTGTTCAATCAATTCAAATATTTTGTTTCTGAATACACAAATATTTTAGGTGTACTTTTCAGAGTGGAGCATTTATATTGTGGCTTAACATATTTATGTATGTACTTATCTAATTTCTTCCCCCAATGTGTTTCTGATTGTCTTATTACTCTGTCTTTTGTTTTGTTAATCCTACTCCTTCCAATCAACTTTTTTGCCCCTCCTCAATGTTTGAACTGAATTGCTAAATTTTAGAAGGTTTTACAATTGCTAAATTGTGACTGTTTAAAAAAGTGATTTATTACATGGTAAATGATGCTTGTGCAGTTTATATATAAATATGTATTTTAGCAGACTTAAAACATTAACAATAATTCTACTTGTAAATTTTTGGGGGAAGACACTGAATCTCCATGTTATGAACAATTTTTAATGTGGTATCATTTTATTTTAAATCAACAGTTACTAGTTTAAAACAATGCAAATACTGTTTTTTAAAGCCCCTTAATAGTTAAATTATAGTATTTTTCTCTGAATTGTATGCATGTGAGGAAAAAAATACATTTTATGGAGTTGAATTTTAAATGGCAGACACACAAAATAACTTTAAAATATCCAAAATTAAATATCTACTTTATCTTTCTCATTAAAAACAAAATAAATGGTCCCTCATTAAAATGTAGAAGCTATTCTAATTCATTAAAATTTATTTTTATATTTATTTAAACATTTACTATACATGAAAAATATATTTCTGTGGCTGCATTTTATAAATTTCAAAGTAGGATTTTAGTTTTATTTAAAATGTATTTTTTCTAGGGACAAAAGGAATGCTTCTAATGCAGATATAGATTTTTTAAAAATATTAGGCTATTTCTTTTCATACTACATGATTTGTTTAATAAACCTGACATTACAAATATAAAATATATATAATTTTTTCAAGTGTATCTAATTCAGAATAATAAAAAAAAGTTGTACCTTTTTATGTGACATTGTGTGTGTTTTTGAGTGTGTTACTTGGCTATACTAAAAATAAAATTTATATCAGTTGGAATTATGTAATTGCTTAGCTAACACACAATTTAAGATCAGATATTCTTTTCTGACTGTATACATGTCAGTGAATAAGATCTAATAAAACTTTTATGTTTCATACATATTTGTTTCAACTTGCCATTAAAGAAGATCCTCATTTTTAAAGCTTCCCTTTATCCATAAGACATGTTTCAAGATCCCACGTGAATGCCTAAAACTGTGGATGGTACCAAACCCCATACATACACACATATATGCTATTTCTCATAAACATGCACACCATGATAAAATTTAATTTCTAGATTAGGTCACAGTAACAGATTAATAACTCATAGTAACAGAAAAATTATAGCACTATATTATAATAAAAGTTATATGAATGGCTTGGGGCAATTATTAAGTAAAGTAAAAGTACACACACTGTGATTCCAAGACAGTCAATCTGATAATCAAGACAGCAACTGAAGACTAACACGCGGCTGGCGCACGCTGCACGGGTACCCTGGACAAAGGCATGATTCGTGTCCTGGGCAAGACCGAGCGGGACGGTGAGAGATTTCGTCACACTACGCAGAACTGTGTGCAACTTAAAATTCATAAAATGTTTATTTTTGGAATTTTTCATTTAATATTTTAGGAGTACAGTTGACTCTGGAGAGCTGAAACTGCGGAAAATGAAATTATGGATAAGGGGCACTAGTGTGCTGGATGGCAGGTTATATTGCGTGGCATCTGGCTTTCTAAAATAAAATTCATTTTAATATTAAAATATTCAAGTGTAAATTTTTCCTGCTATTATTCAGTTGGTCACCGCACTTATTCCTCAAAGTAGGTCTTTAATTTTGACTGTCTTTAACAACTAAATCATTTGAAAAATAAGGAAACTTATCAACTCATTCAATAACTCATTATAAAATGGCTATTAAAAGATTGTCTATAATGTTCAGTGACAACATTTTGAAATAAGTTAACACTACTTTCTTAGCCAATGTATCAAAAATTCATTTGTGTTTCCAACAGCTTTTAGAATTGAAAATCAAAATTTGTAAGTTCCATAATGAATAGTTTCATAATCAGAAAGCGGAAACCTGAATGATTACCTTGATATTAAAAAAAATTCAGATGTTTTTCTTTAATGGAAATATCAGACACATTTTTATAGAAGACTGCTATGTGTTTTCCTATATTTCTGATGTATATATAATACCATTGAGTTTATTTATTTATTTGTATTATTACTATAGCTCAAATAACAAAGAATACGAACTATGAAAAGTAATTCTGCCTTCTATCTACCTCATGTGCTAACTACCCAGATATCCTTCTAAGAAATAT